TTAAGAGAACTGGCCAGAGGAATGTTTTCTAACTCCACGGAACATTTGGGAATTTTTAACAATTTATGAACTATGATTTTAAATTTTTGGTCTTATTAAATCTTAAAATGTATGACTTTGATATGCAAGTTTGAATTACATTTAGGAGCTGTGGTCTAAATTGAAATAATAGGCTTATATATAACTGCTTGGGTATACACAAGACTTTAAATATATGTACTTCTCTGGTTTCATTTGTCACATATCTTTCTGATGATTAATGTGGTTGCGTTTGGGGGTTTTTTTGTTTTTTTAACTTGAATTTATATTACCAAGTCTTAGGAACTCCTTTAGTGGAGTAAGAAAAATAAGAATCTCTTCCTCACAAATTAATGCTAGTGAACAAAATGCCAGTGAAATGTTGTCTGAACTGATATGGGTGTTTGTTTTTCTTTCCACCTCTAATAAGCGCATTGTGTGCCACTTTTTTCTCAGAAAGAAAAAAATGTGTTAAAATATTTAAGCCACAGTAACATTATCTAAGTTCTTTATCCTTGCTTAAATATTTCTCCTTGCTTTAATTTTCAGATGTCATTTTGGCTTTTTAAAGTCTTTATGAACGTTTAACAAAGTTATTTTTTGACATTTTATATAATCTTGGTATTTAACACTATATGGTATTCTGTATGTATTATGTACTGGGAAGTACTTGTACTATGTACTGCAAAGTATGAACTGTTGGTATATACCACATTGTTACTTATGTAATAGAAATGTATGTGATAGAAATATTCCTGTATTCAGCTAACTGTATAGCTCTGGATTGTGGTAATGGGTCTGCAGATGTATACATATGTCAAAACATACATTTTTACATATGTGCAGTTTATTGTATACCTCTGTGAAGCCATTTTTCATACATATCTGCACACCTTTTGGCAGTTAAAATAGCTACCATCTTTAAGAGAGAGGTATGCATTTATTTGGTGTGGATTGCCTTGGATATTTATTTGTTTGGTTTTGGTTTTGGTTTGTATGCTTCAATGTTCTTTAAATATATAAGTGTTTTCTTTGAGTAAAACAACTCATACCTACATGGTCATCAATGTTAATTCTAAAACTGATCATCTTTTGGCCCATCAAGAACTAGGCTTTTTTATTTAGTATTGGATATGAGCCATGTTTCTGGCATACCTTTATTTGAAGATTAAAAACACCGGGAATGTGTTGTTTTAGAACAGCTTAATAATTTGAGTATTTCTGTTTCCAAGTCTAAAGGGGAAAAAAAACCCATGTGATCATAACTTATTTTTATGTTTTTTTGAAAATAAGTTTATTTTTACTCTTCTGATTTTAAAGTTCTCCTTAGGTAGGAAAGAACGGTGAATCTAGTAACCCAGGACGAATAAACCCAGACACAAACTGACTTTTTTGTCTTGATTCAATTGACCATAGAAAAGTCAATGTCCTAAAATATACCCTCTAAGTGGCATGGTTAGAAAAACCCTTCTTGGCAAAAAAGCTAAATTCAGACTTTAAATGTATGTACTTCTGTGGTGTTGCATTTATCTGTAAAATATATCCTGATAAAAAGCTAAATTAAAAAAAAAACTAAATTAATCTAAACAATTTTCTGTTTATAGACATCCAGAAAATATTTTAGGGCACAAAAAGCTGACTATAAGTGAATTATGAAAAGTAAGTATAAGCCCAGTGTAAAGGCAGATTTCCTGTGATAATACATGGGACTGTCTATCTAAACTGGATAGTCTGATTAAAAATTAACCAAAATAAACAACATAAACTTATTGTGAGAGCACTGGGTTTTTTTCCCCTTCCAAGTGAACTTTATCCTTGGTAAAAAATTGTCTACAGTAGAAAGTCTTTGAGCAGGGAAACCTTATTGGTATTCTTTGTTTATACCCATGATTTTCAGATTATCTTTTGAGGAAGGAGAGTTATTGAAATGTCTTTTGAGGAGAGTTATTGTTTCAATATCCTCATCTGTTCTAAGCTTCTTGTATTCACCATAACATGCCTCCAGCACTTTGAAATAAATACACTGCCACCACCAAAATTATCTGAGCCTTCTTTTGGTGGTGGGAAGTTATGCATATTCCTATTCAGTTTTTTTTTTCATTGCCTCCAAATACCTTATCTATTTCCTATAAGTATTAAGAAGTGAATATAGGTGTAATACCAGTTCTCTAAAAACCTTGTCTTAGAAATATGTTTTGTGACAGTGACACATATTTGGGTTTTTAATAATAAAATTCAGATCATTGAAATGGTTCAGAGGAACTGTAAAGAAAAACTTTTTTTTTTTTTTCAATTAGAACTACTACTTAAGTTTCTAAGTCACATGGGCCAAATCCTAACCTATGTTCCAAAAGGGACAGGTTTTTTTGTCCCTGCTTTTTAGGTAACCCATTGAATGCCTAATCAATATTACTTTTCCAAAAAAAATTTCTGCATTTTTTTTTCAAATAGCATATGAATTCTGAAATTGGCAGTAGGCCATTTTCAGTATTGCACTGTTAAATTTCATAATCACACTTTTAAAGTTATTTTATTCCTTAAAATTTAACTTTTTTGAAATACATGTATGCTAAAAGGCCTGTGTTGTATCTGACAAACTTTCTTCCTATATGTTCTTTGACTAAAGCAGGAAGGTTTTTATTGGATCCCAAAAAACATGTACAAAAAGTGCAGAGATGTCCTTCTCCTCTCCCTTCCCCCACTCATATTTTATGACTTAGCATCATCCTTTCTTGGCAAGCACTTTAGGCTTGATAAACTCTGAAGAGTAACATGTCCTTTGTGGAGAAACGAGATTATAGTTGTTTTTAAAGAACCATGCAACTTAACCACCAAATATTGCTTGGCATGATATCCCACCACCCTAAGGAGACTGAATAAACAAAGTCCATGTTAGTGTCGAAACATGCTTTGATATATTTATATCTAAATCTAAATTCTGTAGTTTTTTTTAATATTACCTAATTTTTAATTGCCAGGAAATTAATAGTTGTACGATAACTAATTCTATAAAGATAAAAAATTTTAACATGAATTTGATTTCATGTAATAAAATAATATCAAAAATTCTTTCTCCCCAAGCTAAACTAGCTTCTCCTTTCAAATTCACCAGGAAGAACACCTTTTCAAAAACCTTTAAATTGGACTTACATGTTTTATGATTTACTGGGAAGTCAAATGTGTTACACTTTAAACAAGGAAGAGCAGCTAACTTCTGTTTCCAAAAAGCAGAACAGAACTTTCTGACAACTGCTTTGTTTCTAGTTAATGTTGGCATGTCTTACTTTGTGAGGTAATCCTATCTTCATTCAAATAGAAGACTCTTTGTACTGTCTTTACTAAATGGAAAGGAATGCCTTGCACTGGCCTGTGCACACGTGTGTGTCACTCAGTCTGCACAGATGTGTATGGTAAAAACATTCACATGTCTTCCGCTGCATAGCCTGTGCCATCTTACTGCATATCTTGAAGGTTTCTTTTTCAGTTCATGTAACATTTACACACCAGCTGTTTCATAATCAGAATCTTACTTTGCAGTGTATTATTTGGAAATTGGGGAGTGGTCTAACATCTCTGACTTGCTCACTTGCTTGCTCTCTCCCAAAGTCAAGGTTCTGAATTCTCTTTAATTATCTACAGAGTCTCTTCAACAGTTTACATTCCTTTCTGATTAATATATATTATATATGTATTATACATTTAGGAGCTTCCATAAGTATAACTGCTGCTTTGGATATTTCAATGATTAAGTTCCTTTACAGTTTTTAATTTTTTTTATTTGGTTTCCTCATCCCTTTTTATGAGACTTTAGTTATGTCAAAGAATTTTTAGAAAAAAAAATGTTCTACAATTTTTAAGTGACAATTTGTATTTTTAAACAGTGATCTTAATAATTTTTAATGATATATCTTTCTGAATTCTCATCAAAATCATGTTGTCGAGAGCACCAAATACAAAAAAATTATATCCCATCAACATTATAAAAAATAGACATGCCTGTTTTGTGACGTACCATTTTTATCTGAGTAACTATGTGAGTCACCTAATGATATGCCTCCATTTTGCTAGCAGTAGACTCAGAATAATAACTATTTCTTCTGAATTTGTATTTTCCTTTAAGTTAATAAATTAATCATGTGAGAGAGGACTTAATTTTTTATAAACCCTTATGTTTAAGTAGTAAGTGGAAATACCTTAAGAATGTTAGCAGTAACTAAAATTTGGTGTGTACCAAGCACTGTTTTGATCCCTGTTTATTCATTTAGTCTTCATAACAACAACATTTAAGAAGTTATAATTATTAGCCCAGTTTTACAGATGAGAGAACTAAGGCCCAGGGAATGCCTGAGCAAGTACCAGAGCCATAATTTGAGCCAAACATTCTGACTCCTAGAGTCTGGGAGCCTTTGTAATCAGCCCCCTGTCATGGCTTAAATATTTTTTTGATTCACTCCAATACCAGACTTGCTTATATAAAATATTTTTTAATTAAAGTCATTAAGAATGGAATTATATAATGTCCAGGATTTGCTTTAAAATATTCAGATAGGGGCAGAAATGAGACAAATAGTTATACCAGAAATTGTTGAAGTTGAATGACTCATTATGCTTTTCTCCACTTCTGTGTGTGTTTGAAATTTTTTATAAGGCCTTTTTAAGTTATTTTCCTCATTAAACTAAAAAGTTTTATAGGATTTTTCTTTGTTTTAATCTTAGTTTTTCTTCTGAGTGTAAATTTGTTACATTGTTAAACTAATATTCAGATATTTGACTGGCCTTTCTTACAATATTCATTTTTTAGCAAGTTATTCAGTAGTAGTCTGTTTTAATGGTGAAGAACAATATTCATTTTTTGAGTTCTGTGTTTCTCCATCTTAAAACGTACAAATATTGTTCTGTGAGAGGGCTTAACTTTGTCCAGGCTTGTATGAAATCATTGCACCTAAACACACATTTAGTGTAGTCTGGTTTTGTTTTTACAGGAGCCAAGCAATAAAAGAGTTCGACCTCTTGCTCGGGTCACGTCCTTGGCAAACTTAATCTCTCCTGTAAGAAATGGAGCAGTCAGACGTTTTGGTCAAACAATACAGGTAAAAAATTAATATATAAATAGATACAGGGAAGGGTAAAGGATACAGCAGGAGACGTTCTATAGGAGCCTAAAATTTTTATTTTTCTTTGAGCTATACAAACATGTTTGCACTGTTCAGACATATGAGTTTTCTTTTTGGAATCTGCTGGTAAGTAATAGTATTAGCAGAACAGTGTTTATATAACCTGTATTGAACTAAGATGCATCAAAAGATAGTCTTAATTTTTATTCCCAAAAAGTAATTTGAGCTGACAAGTATTTATATAAATTATAGATTGAAACTTTGGCAAATGATTGATTTATGCATTGAGGAAACTCAGAACTTTTTCTTCTTTCTTCACTTAAAGAACGATAAGTAGCCTCCAAATCTATGTTTTCTTTTATTTGCCTCTTTCAGTCATTTACCCTTCGTGGTGACCACAGATCCCCAGCCTCTGCCCAGAAGTCATCTAGCAGATCAACAGTTCCAACGCCAGCCAAGAGAAGAAGCAGTGTGCTATGGTCAGAGATGTTAGACATCAGCATGAAGGAGTCTTTGACAACCAGAGAAATCAAACGTCAGGAGGTATGCTGGCTTTCAGCACCAAGAGCAACTTTATTGGCTTATACTAAGAAAAAAGACATGCTTTTTAAATGTTTTGCCAGAAGAATAGCATAGTAATGAGTATGACAAAATTAACTTGCATTTTTTGTATTTGAGTAAAAATGTATAACTCATATTGAACAGCCTTTGTGATGGGTGGTCGTCATCAACTTGAACAACTCTATTGGTAAAATTATAAAATGTATGACAACCTTTTATTTGAGATTCCATTCCGAATTATAGTTTTCAGACTTAAGTCACTTTAAAAAGAGCTGTTCAAAGCATTAGTTAAATATAAATATCAATTATATATAATTTTCCTTTCTCAAAGAAAGCAATGACCTTTGTGAGGGGAAAGGGGAAAAAAAACAAGGGAGAGAATTAAACAACAGCAGATGGGGTAGAGAGGGAAGATGAGAGGGAAGGGGAGGGGGGATAGTAGGGGATAGGAAAGGTAGCAGAATACAACAGTCATTAATATGGTATTATGTAAAAATGTGGATGTGTAACCGATGTGATTCTGCAACTTGTATTTGGGGTAAAAAATGGGAGTTCATAACCCACTTGAATCAAATGTATGGAAGATGATATGTCATGAGCTTTGTAATGTTTTGAACAACCAATTAAAAAAAAAGAAAAAAAGAAAGCAATGACCTCTGATGTTTGCTGGGTGTTTTCTAGGCAATATATGAAATGTCCCGGGGTGAACAGGATTTAATTGAGGATCTCAAGCTTGCAAGAAAGGTTAGTAGATCATTTTTTATCAGGAACCCAAGTTTTTAAAAATTACATTTCAAAAAATTCTGAAGAATAGGTTTATTAACCTTTAAAAATAGTAAAGGAGAAAATATCTACTGATAAATATAGTTTTGGGATGAGATTTAGACATCTCTCTTCAAATGAGTATTAGAGAGCCTTTGGGGGGATTGATATATACTTTAATTTCTTCTATGTGTGGCAAACAGAGTCCACACTAGCTTTTATGTATTCATATACTTTCAGGTGCATCACTCATCACATTTGCTTTGCTTGATCTTTGTATGACACATTTCTCCCTCTGATTAGGCCTACCATGACCCCATGTTAAAGTTGTCTATCATGTCAGAAGAAGAACTCACACACATATTTGGTGATTTGGATGCTTATATACCTCTGCATGAAGGTTAGATATACTACTTAATTTTCATAAGTATCTAAACAGCAGTAACACAAGTAATTTTAAATCTAAACAAGTAATGTAGTTCTCACCTATTTTAAAATCTTTGTTCCTTTTGCTTTTTTTGCACTTCAGATTTGTTGGCAAGACTAGGAGAAGCCACCAAGCCTGATGGAACAGTGGAACAGATCGGGCACATTCTTGTGAACTGGGTACGCATAAAGTTGTTGATCCCCCTCAACTTTTTGTAGATTTGCCCTACAACAGTTTTTGATGGATATCAAAACAATTTGATTGCATAACTAGATTCTACAAACAGAAAAGGCACTAAAACTAAGTAATTGTATGATAAAAAAGGTTACCTTTTTTTTTTAATAAATAAATAAAACTTCATTAATGGTATAGTTTAATCATGTTACGAATATATTTACAGATATGTTCCTGCTTGGACAGAATTTCCACATTATATGCTGTTGATTACCTGTTGCATTCCTTCACTTAAAAATTCAAGTGCCTGCTAAATGCTAGATACTATTCAAGGAAGGGACACTGGGGATTCCATAGTGAAAGACCTGCATTTATACCCTTGTATAAATAGTTGAGCCCATAAACAGTCTCAGAGTCAGTGAAGAATGTGATTAAAGATGCTCAGGTGTCCTAGAACTCCCAACAACTGACATCAAAGTGAGATTGGGGGAGTAGAAGTCATATGAGTGAGTCTTTAATTGAATTTAGCCAACTTAAGGAACTCATCCAAGAGTGTTGTGATGTTGGTCCAGAATACTTTTCTGCTCCCATTATCATCTCTAGAAAATGTCGACAGCTTGTTAAAACTCAAGCATAGCTATACTGTCATTCTGCATTTCATGTTCACAGGCTTATGGATGCACTCGGTCATAGCAGGAATGCATCTTACTTGTTTTTATTATTCTTCAGTTACCAGGCTTGAATGCCTACAAAGGCTATTGCAGTAACCAGCTGGCAGCCAAAGCTCTTCTTGATCAAAAGAAACAAGATCCAAGAGTCCAAGACTTTCTCCAGCGATGTCTTGAGTCTCCCTTCAGTCGAAAACTAGATCTTTGGAGCTTCCTAGATATCCCTCGAAGTCGCCTAGTCAAATACCCTTTACTGTTAAAAGAAATTCTTAGACACACTCCAAAAGACCACCCTGATGTTCAGCTTCTGGAGGAAGCAGTAAGTAGTCCATTAAATGAATCCTTTATTTTTCATTCATATACTGGGATGCCTTAGGAAAGTATAGAATGTACTCTGAAATCGTACATGTATTGAATCAGCATAGCAAAGGGTTTTATTGTTTTTAAGTACCAAATAATAAATGTAATGTGCACTAAGTAATAAGGAGATGCACGTCTGTCATAATTGTATTTTACATTTATATTTTAGTCTAGGGACTGGGTTTTAATCTAGTTTTTTCCGCTAGCTGTTAACTTCAGACAAATCACCCAGTTTGAGACTGTTTTTCTTCATTTGTATAATGAAAGGACTGAATGAATTAATTGATTCAAGCCTTTAATTCTGTCATTTCATGTGACATTATTACTCCATAAGGAAGCAGGATAAGTTAATATACAAAAGTTACTCATCCATTTCTTAATTATTTGTAGGTAGTGATAATACAAGGAGTTCTCTCCGATATCAACTTGAAGAAAGGTGAATCTGAGTGCCAGTATTACATTGACAAGCTAGAATATCTGGATGAGAAACAGAAGGACCCTAGAATTGAAGCAAGTAAAGTGCTTCTGTGCCACGGGGAGCTGAAGAATAAAAATGGACATGTAAGTACATCTCAGTACTAACAGGAAGTAAGCCATTATTTTCCTTTTCACATCCAGCTTAACTTTTTGCATGTAAATTATGAAGCAAGTGTGTGAAAGTAAATTCATAGCATAATGAAAGAAGGTAACTGATTTTTATTCTGTTATCAGTTTTGATAAAGCAAGCATTTGTTTTCTACAGTAATAGAATAACTGACTTAAATGTCTCAGAGAAGAATTAGTAATATTCATTTTCCAGTTTTGAAGTATAAATCAATTTGTTTAGCTAAGGGTTCTTTCCTAAGTTCTGTAATGTTTAATAAAAAGAATCCTTTAAGAGTATAGAGTTATGGAAGTAGTTTTTAGCACTACTCAACAAATTTCTACAACAGATTGAATGGAAGCAAATTTATTTTTGAAATATTATTTACAAAAGTACCTACTAGGGGCTGGGGATGTGGCTCAAGCGGTAGCGTGCTCGCCTGGCATGCGTGCGGCCCGGGTTCGATCCTCAGCACCACATACAAAGAAAGATGTTGTGTCTGCCGAAAACTGAAAAATAAATATTAAAAAAAAATTTAAAAAAAAAAAAGTACCTACTAGAACTAAGTTTAGTCATGAAATAATATTTTCATTTTATTATATGCTGTTTAAAAGCACAGTGTGTAAGTTGAGGCCTACTTAGAAAAGTTGAAAGCTGACATCTCCGATTTCCATCACAAGGCATAATTGTTTTACAAAGGTTTAAATTTCTGTGGACAAAATGGAACCATTAACATTCATCTGGCTTGCATTTTTTAATTCCTACTATTTTAGAAAACTGAAATGAAATAGTGGCGATTCAAGTCATGAGACTGCTAATAGGTCTTTGTGATGCATAGTTTACTCAACTGTTGCCTGATACCACACAACAATAAAAAAAAAAAAATTATCAAGTCTGGATTGAGTTTTCCAAATAAAACATGCATAGTCATGAAATCACTATTTTATAAAGTCAGAGAAAGATCTTAGTTAAATACATTTGATGAAATTAGTAATGTCAAATCAAGTTTTTAACAGTATATTTCAGTCACTTAAAATCAGTGAAGTTTCATATTTAAAAAACACTTGTTTCTCATTTCTCTAGAAACTTTACATATTCCTGTTTCAAGACATCTTGGTTCTGACCCGGCCTGTTACACGAAATGAGCGCCACTCCTACCAGGTTTACCGGCAGCCCATCCCAGTCCAGGAGCTGGTGCTAGAAGACCTGCAGGATGGGGACGTGCGCATGGGAGGCTCCTTTCGAGGGGCTTTTGGCAACTCAGATAAAGGTAGAATACAAGTTTTGAAATTTAAGCTCAGAATCTAAATAAATCTAGTTTTAACCTTTTTAAGAATTCTAAAATGAAATGATTCTCTTATCCTGTGCTCATTACACACATTGAGCTATCAGGTGCTTCGTGACTGTGATGGCTCACTTTAACAGTGTACAAGTTACAGATGTCCTAGTGCCTGTGTTAGGACAATATGACCACTTTCTTTAAACAGTTTCTTAAATCTCATTTCCATTTTTTTCAATTTTTATTTTTACAGCTAAAAATATCTTTAGAGTCCGCTTCCAAGACCCCTCTCCAGGCCAGTCTCACACTCTGCAAGCCAATGATGTATTCCATAAGCAGCAGTGGTTCAATTGTATCCGAACCGCCATTGCCCCTTTCCAGCAGGCCGTCAGTCCACCAGAGCTTCAGGGTTTGCCAGAGCTCCACGAAGAGTGTGAAGAGAACAACCCTTCTGCTGGGAACCTCAGAGCCCAGAGAAGGGCGTCCACAGTTTCCAGCATGATGCAGGTAGAAGGTGACGAAAACGCCTCAGAATTTAGCTCCAGCTTGCAGGTGGCAGACACCAAGAGTGCAAAAACACACCGGACACAGGCTGGCTTCCGAAGAGCCAGGGACAAAGCCCAGCTCTGCGGCAAACGGAAGGAGACTTTGGTGTAAAGGAAGCTCTGTGTATTAACTGGTGGAAAGATTGTTTATTTATAAATGTGTACAGTTTTGTTTTCCTTGTAATGGAAGCATGGGCTCATCATAGGGTTACTTTGTACCAGTTGTAACATTTTCATGGTTTGGGGTTCTTTTTATGTCTTGTTTTTGTTTTTGTTTTAATGGCAGCTAAAGATATGCAGATTACTGTTAAATTGCAGACTTTTTAAAAAAAGGATATTTCTCAGATTATTTAGATTGTGCAAGCCTGGTATTTTTAATCAAATGAAATATTTACGAACTGAGTTTTATCCTAATTCTGAATTTATCATAACTTTCCAATAACAACAATTATGATATTTACAGTGCCAGCCAAAACAGAATTTTCAAAGACTGGAATTCTACCAGTTTCTTTATTAAGGCTTGCTTGCAAAATTTGAAATTTTGACATTGGCACCTAGATTTTATGTTTGAAGTATCTCAAAATTTATGTTGAAACAGCTTCCTGGAAAACAAACCACAAAACTTAACAAGTTTTCCATTTTATCAACTGGAATACCATATATTAGCTTGTTTTTCACTGCACATTCCTCATTTTTCATTCATTTATCCTGCCAGTTATTTAATGTTTTTTTATTGTAAAGTAGTTTTTAGCATTTGCTTTTATTTTTTTACTTTAATGCCTTTTCAGATTGGCAATCTTTATTTTTCTTCCTGATTAAAAATGTGTGTGTATGTGTGTGCGTGATATAAATATATATATATTTTTGTGGTTTTTTTTTTTTTTTTTTAAATTGTATTAACTTTGCCAAGTGAAACTAAGCCATACTGTTTTTGAGCCAATTAAGAAATTGAAATTTTTACAGTGTAGCATTTCAGGGTGGTGAAGGCGCATGAAATGACTCCGTATAATCTAGACTACTGAAAGAAAAACCACTTCAAGGAATTCATTGAAAGTTTTAGTGTTGTCTGTAAAGCAAGAGGGAAGGCAATTGACTGGTACTAAGTAAAAGAAAACAGAGGGGAAAAGAGAGTAGTATTGTCTTAAAGTAAAAATGTCTGGTTGTGCCAGAGGATGAAAGGAGATAGAAAAGCTCTTTTTGAGGGTATGTAGTAAGTTGTAGAAGGCTTGAGGGGATGTGGACTTTATTTGCCTTGGTTTATGATACCTGCAAATAAGTTTGAAAAGAAACAATGAAATGTGTTGAAAATTTGGCCATGTTAGGTCAATTTTGGTGGATTTAGTCATAAAGTGGAAAAAAGACTCCTGGATCTTAACTGCAAAATGTTTCTGTTATAATGAGACAGGGAGAAAAGACTAAAAGTTCTGTGTCATTGCAGGTTTATAATGGTGATCAGTTCAAGTCAATATTGACTATTATGTGAAATATATTTGCCAGTAGAAGTGAAAATTGGAAAAAAAAATGTAAATAGATCAATCAAATGATTTCTCTGTATAAACGAATTATACAATTAAAAAAAAAAAGCACACACATAATCACTGAAGATTTCTTGCCTGGTGGATGTTTTGGGGCACTTGCTAGAACATGTTTGTATGGCAAAGTAAATAGATGATTGGCAAGTCTCAGAAAAATTTATAAAAATATCACAAATAAGTCTTTGAAATTAATTGATGAGTAAGAGAAAGGTTCACTTAGGTCAGTTCTGTGAATCTTGTGTAATCTTTTAAGATTACACTGCAATCATACTAAGACAACTGCACACCTGATCACTTTATGGATAGAATAGTAAAGCCAACAGCAAAGCGTTATGATCTGCAACACTGGGAATCAAGAGTTCTGCTCCTTTCTTGGAGATGTTACATAGAATATCATTCTTTAATTACCTTAATCAACTTCCAAAGTTATAGAAGCAAAGGGTAGTTCATACATCATAAATAGAAAGATTCTATATCTGAAACTGTATCTTCCTTTGGTTCCCACAAGGGAGAAAATAGAAAACAGTAAATACATGAAATGAATGTTCCTCAGAAATGACATTTATGTTTGAGAGCATTGGATGATCTAGCCCAGTAGTTCTTACAAATTTTTTCCCCCCATACCAGGGATTGAACTCAGGGGCACTGGACCACTGAGCCACATCCCCAATCCTATTTTGTATTTTATTTAGAGACAGGGTCTCACTGAGTTGGTTAGCACCTTGCTGTTGCTGAGGCTGGCTTTAAACTGTAGATCCTCCTGCCTCAGCCCCCAAGCTGCTGGGATTACAGGCTTGTGCCATCGTGCCCAGCTAGCCCGGTAGTTCTTAAACATGTTTGAGCATCAGAATCACCAGGGATACTTTCAAAAGGTAACTTGAGGCTCCCTCGTCCCTCCCCCCCCCGCCCCGTAACCTCACACGCATTTACACCATTTCACTAAGTCTTAAGGGTTTTGTGTGTGTGTGCTCCCAGTTTGTTTTAACCTGTTCAGACTTGCATCTGAAGAGAATCTAATCTACTTACCTTCTTTCAGTATGCTCACAATTTGCAGCAAAGGATGGTTCTCTACCCAGAAGATCTTGTTAAACTCAGTGCTCCATCTCGGAATGTATGCACACAAAGTAATGAGGGGAAACCAAGTCATCCAAGTAGTAATCAGTGGGATGACAGTGTCACTAAATCACCCTGCAATCTATTAATTCACAGCTCCTCCACTGACCCCATAAGTGTTCAGCTACTTGTGTGCTAGTTAGATCTACTTTGTGTTTAATGCTTTTCTGAGTATGCAGATTCAGCAGGATACAGTTTTTTTCCAGTATATGTGACTAACTATAATGTTAATAGTTTTGCAGGATTCAGATAATGCCTAGTTAAGGCTCACATCTGTAAATTTTGATGATTGACATAAAGACCTAAAATGGCCATCTACTTTCATCATCATCTTCATTTTTACACATCTCATTTGAAATGCTTGCCTGTCCCTAGAGATGAAATTGGTTGGTAATAAGCATGTCCTAAGGATTCAAAGCAGGTAACTAAACCTACAGACCAGCTTTTTCAAATTGGCCTGAAAGAACACCTACAAAGAGTTAATGCCCCTTTGTCCATGGAACCTCTAGTCCCTCTGAGAGGAACATCCCGGTAAATTAATCTCCCTAGATCTAGACTTTTGGGTCCAGAGTAGTTTACTTTTTCTGCACATCAGCAATCCTCAGACCCAACCACAAGACAGACCTCATAGATTGATGGTTACTAAACCCAGTTGTACTCAAACTCTCTTATTGCGTATTTTGAGACTCTAATAAATAAACTATAGACCCTTTTTCCAAGAAAATGTGTCTATGCATCCATACGACTTAGGGGTTCAGGAAGATCCCAAATCACTGTGGTCAAGTTCAGATCTGCTCAAATCTGCCCTGACAAGGACTCTTAGAACACCTGCTGGAGAACAAGAATTTGCTTTTTCCCTGTGGGTTCTAAAAACATTGATACTACCCTTGCTATGCAAATAATAGGTGAAAACTTTCATCTTCCATACTTCCAGTTGGTCTTCAAAGCCACACTTGTGACAAATTTAACTGTTCTGGATATAATTATCTGCAGGATGATGCAAAAATACAAGTGTGCTTTTTGTATAATACTTTCAGTGTGCTATCAGTCCTAGGTTCACAATGCTTTGCCTTTCTGAGCCTTGTTCTCTCCAGAAACTGCTCTGCTTTCCCAGAAGATGGGCTAATTGTTAGGAGGTAAGCGTAGACTTGAATGAAACCAAGTTCCTTTCCTGAGCACGAGGTAACTGTCCAGTATCTCAGTACACAGGTGTCTCATGATGAATAATGTATTATTTTAAAAGTATTGAGGCAGAACATCAGGATAAAACTATAATGGATTAGTTAAAACACATCAAATATACTTAAATCTGTAGCTTCATAATGACTCTTTAATCTTATGATCCCCTTTGGAATATCTCAGGGAACCAATTTACTGCTTTGCAACCTGGTAAATAAAAGAATCAAGCATTTACCCTAACCTTTCCTCTACAAACTAACCCTCAGGCTAACATAGTAGCTGAGAAAGGTCAGATTCTCCCCATAGCAGAAGCCCAGCTGATGGGGAATGTGGAATATCGCCACATGTAACCTTCATGAACCATGGACCAAGAGGTCCTAGTGTGGCTAATGAAGGACACAACACAGGAAGGCAGGCACTGCTGCCTCCTGAGAAGTGCACACCACCTAAGCAGTCATGACAAGTTCAGGCCTGAGCCGTTAAGACAATAGTTGCTTCAATAAAACAAACAGTAAAAAGGAAAAAAGATGGAGGAGATTGCAGAATCTGACTTAGATCTCAAACAACTGCATCATATTGATCTGATTTGGATCGAAACCAAATAAAGTTTTTCAGTAAAACCATCAGGGAGTTACCCAGAATCAAGTGTATATTTGGAGTAGTTACTTTATGTTTAACAATGGTAGCTCAATGGTAGACCATCTCCTTAGCATGCATGAGGCCCTGCATTCAATTCCCAGCAGCAAAAAGAAATATAATAAATGATGTCTGGGATGTCCTTCAAAATATGAGGCAGGAAAATGGTTGAGAATAAAAAGGAAATGAGATTGGCCGTGAACTGTTCTTTGCCTATGTCTTTGTACATGTTTGGAAATTCTTCTCTAAAATACGAAGTTAAAGAGAACATGAAATTTCAGCTATCACTTATGCTTCCAGCTCCTCGACCTCTTCATTCCCTCAGAATCTCCAACCTTTACTTTCCAAAATAAAGGCAGAATGTTCAGTGATGTGGCTGCATTTGCCATCTCACAGAAACACGTCTTTTTCCTGAACTTCATACTTGCGCTCTCTCCATTACAACTGGGCCATAGCATTAGTCTAACCTGATTCTGTCTTAGTCAATATGGCCGTGGTCCTCCTCTCCCTGTCTTTCTCTCAGTATTGTGTGTTGCTTTTGCCTGTACTTCTTTTTTCTCCTCCACACAAACATCTATGTGCTCCAAGGATTGAAGCAGCAATACAGTGGTTCCTCGTGGCTTCCCTATTTATGGTCGGCCATGATCCAGATATAGTAAATGAAAAATTCCAGAAATAATTCATATGTCTTAAAATTGCTCACTGTTCTGAATAGCTTGATGACATCTTTCTGTCTATAATCACCCCTGTGTCCCACACACCCATGCTGTATATGCTGACTGCCTGTTAGCCACTTAGTCATCATCTTGGTTATCCTATTGACTGTGACAGTATCAACAGGACTTGTGTTCAAATAACCCTTATTTTCTTTATTCATGGCCCCAGAACACAAGGATAGTAATTGATATAAAGGAGGCCCCATTAACTCTAGCAACACTGATGGACATATAGGAAAAAATAGGATTCAGTACTATCCACTGGGAATCTCGAAACCTTCCCTGTGGACAAAGGGAAACTACTATGTAAAGTTTCCAGGTCTTCCAGGGAAGCAACTGCATTCAGCCTGAGAATTCCTACCAACGGCCAGTTTACTAACTATATTACATCTTTAAAGGAGATAGTGTTGCAATATCTGATAATGTTTGTGCTGTTATTTAGATCTGAAAGTAAGACAAAATTAGCTAGATTCAAAGAGTTCTGATAATCTCCCATAGAATTCAGATTTCTCAACAGCTGCTCCTGGGGGCAGGTGGAAGGGTTTTTAATTTCTCTCTTTTACTGAACTGACAAGCAGGGACAGATCTATCAAGTTACACCTGGAAACCCACATAGATCATTTAGTCTGATCCTCTCTTTACCAGCTAGTTGAGGAATCTGAAATCTACAAACAGCAAGCGACTTACCCAAGACCACACAGCTGGTTTTTGGCAAAGCTGAGATTAAACACATATCCGATGTTTGTTCCTCTGCAGACACTGCCTCTTTGCTACCAGCACACTCTAAAGCTTGGCTCAGTTTATCTGCCTGATATTCGACTTATGCAGACAGACCTTGGAAGTGAAAACAGGGCCCTCAGCATCCATGGGTTCTGCATTCAACTGCAGATTGAAAAATATACTGGGGGGCAAAAATGTGTTTATACTGAAAATTACAGACTTTATTTCCTTGTAATTATTCCTTAAACAATACAATACAACAACTATTTGCATAGTGTTTCTATTGCATTAGGTATTATGATTCATCTAGGCATGATTTAAGCACATGGGAGGATTGCTTAGGTTATATGCCAAAATTTATATCAGGGGATTTTGATATCCACAGGGGGCTCTGGGACAATCCCCCTTCAGTTACCAAACTTCTATTCCTTACCCTTTTTTTCTCTTCAAACACTGGGCTTCCCTGGGTTTCAGAGACATGACACTTTCACATTTGGCTAGTACCTGAAGTCATTCACTATCAGGGTCAACCTACGTGATAATAATGTGGCTCCCTAGTCCCATAACACACAAACCACTGATACAGGCCCAAATCTGCTTCTTGAGATTCAGGCCCAAAGATTCTGCTGCCTGGTGCCCTTTATCTCCACATCGTGCCACGAGCAAGCTTGACGCTCTACTCAGCCTTCCCTCCTTCCACCCTG